TGTCCAATAGATCGTTTGGTCTATTTCTTTCATTCACACTTTATACACTTCATTTAGCCTCAAACCTACAACCTTATTATTACAGACGGGTGTGAGTGTGAGATCTGGATTATGCAATCTAGTTTAAATCAAAATATTCTATATGTCATACGTTATCAGCTGATTTTTCAGTAGTAGTTCTAGTTGGACCTTTGGCCAATGACAATTTATACAGAATTTTAATATTTGTTGATCACAGATCCATAACTTTGACTGCCTATCAAAGTTGTCATACGTCATATGTCACCGTATCATTTCCGCTTAGATCATTATCCCTCCAGATACTGACAGAGAATGTAGCGTAGAAGTAATTTTAAACTGTTTGTCCTCGTTTTAGTGTAGTGTTTTGTACAATTTATGTTATTTTTAATGTTTCCACATTCTACGCTTGCCGGATAGTTCTTATTTTGACGAAGTAAGTCTAAAACGTTAATCTCAAAAACTTTTTTTCATCCATTAACTTAGAGTTTTTTATCGAAGTTAACTAATTTACTTCATCTAAAAAACGTTTTCTTGGCTTATTTCAGATGCTCCTGAAGATGCTATTTTAAGCGAAAGTACTTGGGCTAGATTTAATTAACTTGTGCTCGATAATAGCCTTATTTTCAAAGTTCATAAGATAATGTATTTTTCGTAGTATTGTATTCTTTTAATTTGGTCAATACAGTATAACGTAATAGTGTCGAAGGCACTCTCGATGTCAAATGATATTGCTTTTAAATCTTGCTTATCATGAAAGGCGATTGTGATATCTGTTTGTAACATTACTAGTGGTCAGCCGTGCTTCGTGATTGACGGGATCCAGATTTAGCTGAATCTAAAATTTTGTGTTTTTCTAGATACTACATAAGTCTTTGGTTTATTAGTTTTTTAAACAGCTACACAAGGTACATGTCAGTAAAACAGGAAGGTACGAATTAAGATAATTCAAGGATTTGTCCTATTTCTAAACTGGTATAACTATAGATTCCCAATTTCTGTTTTGTCCATATTATGTTGTACAGTATAAAAAGTTATTTTACGGCAGATATCGAAAGATTTTCGAGAAATATAACGAGGATGTTATTAGGACCTGTAGCCGAATTTTTGCAAGTTGGAAGAATATTTAAGATTTCTTGTAGTATCAATGGAGTGTTTAAGACAGTAGAGTCGAATTTGATAGATTGGGAAGTATATTGTACAGGAGAATTTGTTTCTTTGAGCACATTTTTGTTTTTTAATCGTTGATAGAAATTTTCGGCGATTATATTAATGATTTTTTCATTATCGATTACTAAATTACTTTTATGTAAAGAACTGGAATTCTTGTGTGCGTATTTTTTTGCCGCATTTGAATAATTTTTCTTCCAAACTTGAGAAGGGGCAATACTATGAGTTTAAGGTATACCTCGCCTTAACTCCAAGTTTAAAAAAAAATCAAGTTTTTGTCACTTTTGTTTCAGCAGTACTTAGTTTTGTATTGCTTTTCAGCGGTTACACAACGTTAATTCTACCAAGGTGTTAATTTTCCTGTAAAAGTTACTATACTTTTTTCTACGTAAATGGCAGCAACGGAGATAATGTGATAAACTTGTTCCATTTTCCGGTCTACTTCAGTTCTGAAACTTGCCCAGTCAGCATTAGAAATATTGCACTTTATTACTGTTTCTAGTGATTTTTCTTCGTTATTTCTCATGAGGATGTGAAATCGGTTACTATTATATTCTTCTTCTTCGCGTGCCATATCAGAACTATCCGACGTTGGCGATCACCATTGCGAAGGCTTCTCGATCTTCTCCAATATAGAATAATTGTCCTGCATTTGGTATCTGAGTCCATTGACGAATGTTTTTTAACCAAGAAACTTGTTTTCTTCCTACACCTCTACTGCCCTCTATTTTGCCTTTAAGGATCAGTTGTAAAATTTTATATCGACTTCCCCTTACTATATGTCCCAGATAAGACATTTTTCGATGTTTAACAGTCTTTAGCAGTTCTCTGTCTCTCTGTCCAAGGTATCTTCAGTATTCGTCTATGAACCCACATTTCCAATGCCTCAATTTTGTTCATGATCGATACTTTTAGCGTCCACACTTCTGCACTATACAAAAGTACAGACCAAACATAACACTTAACCGTTCTTTGCCTTAGTTCTAAACTCAGATGGTTAATGCAAAGAAATTACTGCATTTTCATTAAAGTAGTTTTAGTCATTGCTATTCTATGTACGTTTTATTTCTCTGTCTGGATCTAATTGGTCCGTTAACACAGTTCCCAAATATCTCATTTTGTGAACTTTCTCAACTTGGACTCCGTTCAGTTAAAGCTTTGCATCGGGATGTGGGTCACGACTAAACACTAAAAACTTGGTTTTGTTTGAGTTTATATGCCCATTTTCTCTCCTACCTCGTTAATACGATCAAGCAGAATTTAAAGACCTTCAATATTATCTGATAGAATTACTGTATCATCTGCATATCTAATTACATTAGTAGTTCCCCGTTGATTTTTATTCCATATGGTTGTCTCTCAAGTGCCTTTTTAAATATTTGGTCGGAGTAAATATTGAACAATGTTGGCGACAAAATGCAACCTTGTCTGACTCCTCGTTGTATGGGGATTTCATCGGTGTAGTTATCTTCAATTTTTACGATAGCAGTTTGATTCCAATACAAATTTTTAATGACACGAGTATCCTTGTCATCTATTCCGATATTTTTCAGTATTTGCATTAATTTTACATACTGTACTTTATCGATTGCCTTTTCGAAGTCCACGAAAAATGCAAATACATCTTTTTTTTGGTCACGGCATTTTTGTAATAGGATGTTTAGCGAAAATAGTGCCTCCCTGGTTCCCACAGCATTTCTAAAACCAAATTGGGTGTCTTCAAGATCTTCTTCGCATATGCGTCTAATTCTGTTGTGAAGTATTCTGAAGACAATTTTAAGAGTGTGGCTCATTAGGCTAATTAATCGAAAGTCTGAGCATTTTCTCGCATTGTGTTTTTTAGGTATTGGGATAAAGATGGATTTGAGCCAATGTGCGGGAATCACTAGGGTGTTATATATTGAATTAAAAAGTCCTAATACTACTTTTATGTTATCATTCTCTATTAGTTTCAACAACTCAGTTGGTGTATCATCTGGACCACAAGATTTTCTAATTTTAGCATTATTTATAGCATGTTCTACTTCGCGTTTCATAATTTCTGGGACAACAGTACAGTTTTGGTAGAATTCGACAATATTATTCCTGTCATCTTCAAACAACTCTGATATATACAGCTGCCATTCTTTTCTTATTTCTTGCTCATTTACAATAATTTTGTTATTAGTTTCAACAAGTACAGCGGAAACTCGTTTTTTTTAAATATATTTACTCAATTCTTTTAATTTTGTGTGCACATTAAATAAGTTGTGTTTAGGTATTACATCCTCCATTTCGTCGCACCTTTCTCTCATCAATTTTTCTTTGGCTAATTTGATCTCCTTTTTTATTCTTCTCTGCAGGTGTCTATATTCTGTTACATTAGATTTCATCAGTCGACGTTGTTCCATTAATTTCAAGATGTCGTCTGTCATCCAGTTATTTTTCTTGATTAAGATTTTTCTATAATCATTCTTTGTGAAGATTTCGTTAACTTGGTTTTTAAATTCACTCCATAGTTCTTCTGGATCTTCTAGTTGTTTCCCGATGTTTTTTATTCTATTGTTAAATTCTGTTTTAATGTTATGTTTTATGTTTATATCGTCAACGTTAAGTACATTGGTTTTTGGTTTTTGTCGCTGAATTCGTTTTAACCTTAGTTTAATATCTGCTACGAGTGGTTGATGATCAGATCCAATATCTGCCCCAGGATATGTAGTGACTTTTTTGACAGCATTTCGGAAATGCTTATTTACAAGTATATAGTGTTTTTAATTTCTTGAATACTCAGGGTTATTGCCATCATCAAATGGGGCTTTCCAAGTGTATAGTCGTCGATTGGGTAGTTTATACCAGGTATTTGCAATGATCATATCATTTTCTTTACAGATTTCATACAATCTCTGTCCTTGATCGTTAGGTTGTCCTAAACCATAAGGACCTACAGTCTGATCTCGTCGACCTTCCCCAATTTTTGCATTAAAGTCGCCTATAATATATAAAATTTCGTGTTTATTAAGTTTCTGTAAGATGTCTTGGATCTGATCATACAACTCGACTTCATCGTCATATTTTCTATCTGCAGTCAGCGCATAGATTTGAAGATACTATCATAAGGATCATCTAAAACATTCCATGTCAGAGAAGGATATATTTTGGAATAATATAGACTGACGTCAATCGCTAAGAAACTTCCTGTTGAAATATTGAAATGAGTGTTAGACCCATTATTTAGGAAACAAGTGTCGGTAATGTTGGGTAAGTTCTCTATAACTTTTCCTCTGCCGTGCGTGGTTTGTGAACCGTATGCAATATTGTGAGAATCTACAACAATTACAAATTTTGCTGGAAGTTAAAAAATCAAGTCTACCAGGCTTATTTTCATTTTTTTTTTATTAAAACTTCTTACTTGAATAAAGATAAGTCGAATAATTCTTGGTTTTGGGTACTGTAATTAAAAAAAGACCCAACATAAAAAATAATTTATAAATAATTTTATACATGTTTTTAAAGAGCTAGCAGACCGAATATATGGTCTTTTTTCTTGCCGTTTTATAATTTCCTTAGTACTGTTTTGGTTAGGGTGTCTATATCTAAATTGACATTTTTTATTAATATTCGTAATTTAAGAGTACTCTACTAATATTGAAAATATTGTAGAATTATTACAACCATATTTTCCTCATACTTTTATTTGACCTAGTTTTTTAAAATTTTCTTATTATCCTTAGAACAGAAACGTTCTTTATAGCAACGCGGTAGTTTGTACAAACGATCTAAAATAAAACAAATTGTGCATATATTTGATGGGCCCTTTTTTTATATTGTTTTAGATTGCTTTCCGTCTACTCAGCGTCTTCAGCAAAGAAAAGCTAAAATATGAAGTAAGAGACGCCAGCTCATATTTTAGGCAATAAAACGAATATAAAGGGACAGAAAGATGTTTTTTTTGCTCATTTTCATCCGTTAAGTTGAATTTTGAGGTATATTAAAGATGGCTGATCACGATCCCTTCGATGACGAGGTAAGTGTATTTTAAATTATGTAAGCGCGGCGAAGAGTATATTTAATGCTTATTTTATTCGAATTCAGCATTTATTGTCAATTGATGTTTTTAATATTATTATAAATTGTTAAACTATAGTTTAGAAACTTAATTTAAAAAATCGTTAAAATTAATATTCATTAACTTCTTAATTTATGTACTGTTTAGGATTAAACTTAAGAGGTCGCTGGTTAATGCTATTTGATAAATAATAATGAAGAAAAAAAATGCAATTCTTTGACTGTAAATAAAAGTAAAAATATGTAAAATATATGTAAAATAAAATGTAATTCAAATAACAATTGGCAGATTTAATAACTTATTGTCAATTCTATAATATGAGATTCACTTACCCTATGTCTATGGCTGGGTCTTGCTTCGAGTATAAGGTCTCAGGGTATGGGATGAACACGAACACACGGTGCTGTTGCGTTCCCGATGAGAGGTTGATGCACAATGGGGCGACAATAGGAAAAAATACATATGTACGCGAATCCACTAGGGTGGTACTTCTGCTCTTAAATGACATTTTAAACTTTCTACACAAAGGACGGGTACGTTTTCTTAAGGACTCTGAAATGTTTGGGTTGATAAATGTTTCCCAAAAACATGTTGTTTTTCAGACAAGTGAATTCTCAGAACTTGACAATAATTAATCAGCCAATTTGAGTTCGAGAATTTAAAAGATAAATTAAAGCCATATTACAATTAGCTAATATATTACAATTAAAAAAGATTTAAAACTAAATAAGGTCATATTCGGAATAATAAAATATTAAAACAGTCTTGATACTTTTCCAAACATGTACATTTCTCTAAATTTCATTTTATTAGTTTCTCGTAAATTAAAATTAGTATTATCTGCTATAACCTAATCTGATATACCCTTTGATTTTATAAAATAAAGATTGAAAAAGTGGAGAAAGTTGTAAGTTTTTATGCCAATGGTCATAGTGCTATACCGCTACTGCCTTAATCTAGATAAAGGTAGTACGAATAAATCGCTAAAACTATTTATAAAAAGTAATATTTGAAATAATGGACAACAAAAGAGCAGTATATTTAGTGGCACCAACTCCAATTCAATCGAGTTCGGGACAAGACTAAAAAATACCTGAAATTCTGGACTTTTCAATGAAAATCAGGTTATTTTCTATTTTTTTAAACAACGACTGTAATACCATCATTTTATTGCTTATTTAATATTTTTATGTTGACAATGATATTTTTATTGGAATTAAGCCATAGGTGGTTTTAATAATTTAATAACCGACCTTAAAGGTCGGTCAGATAGCCAAGCGGGCTGGGCGGCCGGATTCTCATTCGCTTCACTGCCAGTAGTTTAGCGGATGTGAATTCAATTCCCAGCTCGGTGTACAGAAAACAAAAAGGCTAACGCAGCAGTTTAAAATTCTAAATGAATCTGCGGCTTAGACTGGAATATGCTGGTGTCTGATCGGCCTATGGTGGAGCAGTACGGCAAGAGATAAGGGCTTGCAGCTCGGTGATACTCCTCCATAGATCCCTACCGGAAGGGCGTGTGCCGCCTAAATACCAGGTATATATTGCTATGATGTTTTGTTTGTGTATGAGCAATGAATAATTTAAAATAACATATATAAGCATATTGTTTTTATCGCAGTTCTCAAAGAATTAGTTTGTAAGTACTTTTTTAAATTATCTTTATTATAATTATTATGGAATACACATATATATCTAATATAGGCAATATAAATTTAGAACAACCTATCTTAAAATTGAAATTCTTACAATAATGAAATTATATTAACAAATTTTGGTACCTTTCTGTCACTGAATGCCTAAATGAAACTGTTTTCCAAACTAAAGGGTATAATCACCACTCAATATCTTCTTTATCAGCCTCGGTTATCCTTGTTTTTGTGAAATTGCTTTTTCCAAATATACCACAATACTCATACTACTCTCATACTTTCTAACTTAATACCATCAACTGTAACTGTCCTACTGTAACTGTCTTAATGAATAACTGTTTAACTGTTTTACTGTAACTCTCATACTGTTAACTGCAACTGTCTTAATTTACTCGAACTGTCTAATCCTCCCTTGCTCCAAATTAAATCGTATTTATATCTTTTCATCGTTCCCGAATATTCTAGCAATACATCATGTTCGAATTTGTACTATTTCATCCATATCTGAATGTTCTCGAATAGTATACCTCGCAAATAGGGTTAAGTTGCTTATATTGACGTTTTCTAGAGAATTCTTTACCCTTCTATCGAGAATTTTATGGACATTTAGGCTTTCTGATCAGAACATAAACTTATATGTAAACTAAACATCTTAAATTAATACAAAACACCATTTTACATCCGTAATTATTATTCAAATGTCACTTATTCAGTTCAAATTTAATCTTCTGTCATTATAATACAGTGTATATTTGGTTGCCTATGTACATGGCTCACTTAAATATATCTATATTATTATAATTAATAAAATAAAACTTTTTACACTTAAGGTTAACATAAGAATGTAATTATTATTACAACCAATTGTGACATAATCCCATAAAAAATATAATTGTTAAACATGCCACAAGAAAACAGCTTCAAAATATTTAAAAATAAATCCATTCATATTTTAAATTGACCTCAACGAACAAAATAATATATTATTTGCACTGCTGATTTTTTAAAATCGTATTTGTCTTGCAATAAAATTTGCTTTAACAATGACGACGATTCTTTTAATAATTTATAAAAATCAACACATCCATATTTCAAATTAAATTTTACGAAGAAAATATTTTTTAAGGTTTCAATACCAAGTTGCGATTTTTCGGCTGTCCATATTTTTGTAATCAATGAAAAACGCGCTCGACGTTCGCAGAAGTAGTTGGTAAACGAAAGATGAATCATATAACTCGTGCAAAGCGTTTGTACCGAACGTAATTCTTTTCGAAGTGTTGGAAGCATTCGATCCAGCGTTTATGTGGTTTGTGGGATTTTCGTTCCAAGCTTTAATTTTATTACTGATCACAAATTTCTTTGCATATCCGAAGTCGTCAAATAATTCAACATTGTTTATTTCTACGCTAATCCGATTATTCTCTGCCATAAATTTATTCGTTGCCTCGACTCCATTCCAAGTCAGTTCGGTAGTGAGTGTAACCCATCCAAATATGAGTACATCTTCAAACTGTAATTTCCACTGCTCAAGATAATCGATGCAAGTTTGATAAAATCGAAGGGCTGTTTGCATTACTGTTTATTTATTAATACGGAGGTTTGCGTCAGCTTTGTTTACTTCGTTTTATACAGCTGACAACAGGAACTATGAATTCACTCTTGTTTTCAACGACTGCAGGAAATCGTCCAAAGTCTGTGTCATTTCAATCACAGCTACCTCATTGCCTTCAATTGTTAAGACTGCCCGATCGAAAATCTTAGCCTATAAAAAATACCCATTGCAATTCAGGTTAGTTTCAAATATTTAAGTTATGAAGTGTATAAAAGTAATTTTTGAACAGGTTTCGTGAGATGCTTTTATATTATGTAATTTTCATGCTAGGCAAGAGCCAAGCAAGACAGATTATGCAACAGCGCATACCCACGTGCTATTTTCATGCAATTCCTTTACTACAGGAAAAATTAAAAAGTGTTTAATTTGTCATACTATTTTGCTGTAAGTTGCTATCAAAATTCATGTTGCCAGTATAATAAAATTTATAGTTTAAAATCAAAACTGAACATTATTACATATTATTGGACTGAAATTTCCAGTTGAAATATCTAAAGTTAATGTTCTGGTATATTTCTTTTGTTGGCAACAATGAAAATGGTATCAAAAATTGCACAGAAATAGCTCTAATGTAAATAGACTAGGCAAAAAATATGCCATGCAAGGCAGACTTGCATAGCATGGTACTTGCATTGCGTAGATATAAAGCTGCTTTTACCTGATCAAGAACGAACAACAACCAAACTTTCGAACATGAGTTCTTGAAAAAATCCTTTAGTAATTTTGGGGTGTTTAAACTTTGTAGAAAATATGCCTTTAATCCATCATAAACTCGTAAGATTGATTGCACTCATGTGAAAATTTCCATGCCGCAAAAGACAGACGTCTGGCCTTACGATAATTCGAAACCGCACTATAATAGGGACATGGCACTATAAGAAGAAGAAGAAGAAAATTTCCAAAAAGCGAATTTTCTCATGACCAAGAATTTTCTATTATTCAACGTTTGCGGTTTCACAAAACTTTTTCAAATGTGTGACACGAACAGTGAAACGATCAAAATGTGAATAAATAACCATAATTAATTCCACGTCAAATGATAACATATTGCAGCCACATTGCAAAGTGTGTGAATAATGTGAGCCGCTCAACCAATTTCCATCAAATTTATCAAATTTAGATACACCTGTGGTTTTAGTTTGTAGTTAACACTGTTTTGCCCACCTCGGTTATTATCACAAAAATTAGTATTAATATTATCGCCGCAGAATGAAACTAACTTTCTTGAGATCTTGTACTTTTCATGAGTGTTCCTCAAGAGCTGCACAATAATATCAGATGTTTCCCCATCTTTAGCCGTAAAATTCAATATTTTCGTCTTAATGTCTTCTAAAGGAATGAAATATCTCACCACAACCCGGAACATCGTTACGTTTCCATGATTATATGCATCGGTAATTATACTAACGTATATTGTGTTGTTCATTGCATCAACCAATTGATTTTCGATGTACGGACCAAAGACACTTTTAACAATTGCCTCACATTTAGTTCGATTTGACTAAAATTTGTTTAATCCAAAGCAATTCCGAAATATTTTCGATGAGCAATCAGCTGAGCGAAAGTTTTTATTTTCCTTAATGATATGAGATGCCCAAACACCTTCCCGAGCTGCTGTCTCTAAATCAATATTGCTCGATGTTGCTGTTGCCTTAAAAAAATCAGTCAATTTTTTGCTGCTTGCCGCGGAGTTA